CGGCTGCCTGGTTTGTGGGGGTCCCTTGGCTGCGGGGGCACCCAGCAGCTCTTCTGTCAGAAACGAAATGTCCCTGGCAGCCTGTGCCCGAACTCACCCTTTCTGCGGAGTTTGGAGTGAGGTCCTTCAGGCTCTGAGAAATTGGAAACTAGTAAGAGTAAAGCTCGTATTTGTATGGCAGAGTTGGGGAGCTCGTACAGATGGGACAGATGAGTATTCACTGCCTGCTTGCATGTGATTTCCTTTGTTGCAAGGAATAAATGATACAGAAATTAATTTGCTTTTCAGTAGTTTCGTTGAAGGCAACAAAATAGGTACTACAGAACACAGACATGCTACTGCACGGGCAGTGAATGCTGTATAAAAGCTTTTTTTTTCAGTTTTTAGGGTTTTTTAGGGTTTTGTTTTTTAGAGTATCAACTATCCACTATGCTAAATAATTACTGCCACAGGAATGTACGAAAAAGTAAAAGTAATGAGCTCTGACCTTTATCAATACTTTTTTCTCCCTTACGGTGCACCTGTATGGTGTCACCTGTCCTGACCCGTTTTCTGGATGCAGCTCAGGGTGTGCTGTTCTCTACCTGTGTAAATGACATTTGCTGTCAGTCTTCAGTATGGCCAAAATCCAGGTGAGAGATGTGAGGCCTAATCCTGCAAACCCTTCCCTGGTTCCTCAGTTTCTCTCTGTTTGAGGTAAACCAAACTAAGTAAAACTTGCTCACTGGAGCCTGTACCAGCTATATGGAGTTAACAGGTTTTTCGGTGCAGGTAACATTTGCTGCCACAGAACAAAGTGCCGTTGTTTCAAACGGGAGTAGTGCTGGGTCCTAACCCAGGGGCAGCAAGGTTCACGTCCAGCTAATCCTGGCTGCTGGAAGCTTATTTTTAGTTCAGAATTAGCTGAGGTTCAGCATGAGCAGCGCGAGGGAGTGGAGAACGGTTCACAGTGCCTCTTTCAGGGAACAGCTTCAAATGATATGGGAAAGAAACAAGTGGTAAGTTTGTGGATCCTTGAGTCTTACCAGTCTTACAGCCTTTCTTATTTCTGATACCAGCTGAATTTTTGCAGAGTGGGAAATATTTATTCCTGTATACTTTTCCAATGTAATTATATAATACAAAATCTGAAAGTAAACTGCCTTTCTTTGTCTAGATGAGAGAAAGTGCAAGAGCTCAGTTTCAGATTGTTAACGGGAGATACTTATTTTTAGATTTTAGTTGTGTTTGACCTGCTGGTAAATATTTTCAAAATTATACAAAAATTAATGTTTTATCATATTTTAAAGTACTTTTCATAAATGAGCTTATTTCCTTTTTATTGCTTTTACTTAATATTGTTCTGAATTTACAGTTTCATTAGTAGAAAATACTCAGCTCATGCTATATACTGTGCAACCATACTGAACGGATGAATTATTGCAGCATTTTGATATTTAACTAGGACGACTGGTAAGCTTTCCAAGCAAAGCAGTACCTTATGTGAAAAGTAAAAATTATTGAAGTGAAGTTGAAATGCAAGCTGCGCCTCGCACACAGCTGTTAGGCATGTGTCCCTAATGCAGCGCCCGTCAGAAGTCTGGCAAAAGCACGTTATTCCTGTGTCGTGCCGAGCACTTTGATGTAACTTCTCCATCAGGAGTCTCTCGCTATCTAAGAGGCATATGAAGCAAAACATACCCAGCGTGGTCTGACCATATGTGGAAATAGCTGTTCTCTGTGAAGTGGTTTAACAGGCCCTCAGAAGAGACGTGGTTTCAGACTTACAGAGGTTGACTTTTGTCCCTGTCTTGTCTTTCAGTGCCCACCTCGTGCCCTCCCTCCAGTGCCAAGGTAAGATCAGTTCATTCCATAGAATTGATCATGATTCTGCACTGCAGTGTTCTTAAAAGTAACGAAATTGAGAGAAATAAGTTTAATAAGCATCTGAATAGTTATAAGAGCTTTAAAAATATTTGCTTTTCATGCTAATTTATTGTCCCAGAACCCCTTACAAGGAATGCAGAGCATTTTGAAGTTTTACAGAGGCCAAGAAATTTTACATTACCTCAGTTTTAACACTCGGAGAGAGAAACCCTTTAAAAAGTTTCAGACAAACAGTTACTTTGGTTTTATTAACGTCTACTTTAGTTTTATGGATGTCCCTCTTTTCAGTCTCTTCTTCTTCCCTCTTTGTTTTTTTCCAGTTCTTTAGTCTATTTGAACCACAAATCCTTCTGAATTCAGGAATTTCTGAAATTAGACCAGATATTCTTGAATAGGGATATAGGTGTGTACCAGTTTGACATAATGTGGGGTGAAATTTGGGCTTTTTTTTTCAGTGCCCTAGTGAGCAGTGTGGGAGGAAGGGCAATTATATAGTTCTTATTACATGGTACTTCAGAATTCCTTCAAAGTACCTAAAAGCAAACGTGACGGTCATGATTGATGACATAATGATAGTGTGTTTTTAATAACATGTGTGCTCAAATGTTTCGTAACTTTTGTTGGTTCGTTACATATCAGGCAGTAAGACAAGTTTTAATTAGCCAGGTGATTAAAGCTTTTAATCTCATCCACAGCTAGCCAATCGAGAAACTGTGCGTAGTCACTAAGAAATTGTTCGGTCTGGATGATTGCTTCGTACCCTTAACCCTGTTGTACACAACTGCTCGTAAAGAGAACTAGGAGTGGGGATAAGGAAATGAATCACAAAAGCAGCAGTGTGAATTTCAGTGTTGTGAATTGTGATTGATTGAAAACTAACTTTCTTCTCATCTTTGTTCCTTGTACACTGCTCTTCAACACCTTTTCTCCTTAAATGTGAAGTGGACACCAAGGTGAGTTATTCTGGCATTATGGAGAATTATAAACATTGGTAGTTCCTTTTGGTGTCACTCTATCCTCTCTTTAAAGATAGGGCCTTATGCTTTTCCTGAATGCAGGCTGATTATTTAAACTGCATGGATACCTGTGCTGCTGTTGCTAGAACTGTCTGTTGTTTTCCTTTGTTCTCTTTACTGTTTGCTATTTCCGTATCGAATCAGGGTAACGGGAATGTTGTCACTGTGCTCTAAACAAAAAGTTTATTCTTCAGAGCATTATTCAGAGTATTTCAGTTTTTCACCTAACACATGTGCATGTGCGTATTTAGCCCCTGTTGCACTTAAGACAGATTTCCTATCCTGTTTTCCTGCCGTCTCCTGTACTCCTTCTGCTTGTGTGAATTGGTGAATTGTCATCTTACCTGTAACAGGTGGAGGATGTCTTCACTTGGAAAAAGGAATCCCTTTCTTAACTAACAAGTCGAGTGGCTGTTGAAAAAGGGAAATGGAGGTTTCTCCATGCTGTGCACTTATACTTCTGTTTTATGTCCTGCAGATGAAATTCCACTCAGTCGTCCCAAAAAAAGGAAGCCCAAAGGAAAGACTCCGTTAGGTAAGGTCCTGCCAAGACTGGACACTGTGTTTGTAATCCTGGGTGAGACCTGTGCTGTAGCCAAGCTCCTGACAGATACACGGTTTTCAGTCTTGTACTCTATTTTTTAATAGTGTTCTCAGCTCATTTATTACAACTGATTTTGTTTTGAAGGACTGCAATCTTTTTCCCCACAGTGGTGTCGTTTTAGAGCAAGTCTGTAATGCTAACTGAAGTAACTTGTTCCATCCTCTGCTTTTTCTCCCTAGATCCATTCCTGGTACTGCTAATACAGCATGTCTTGATACTTGTCCTGGTTTCGGCTGGGATAGAGTTAATTTTCTTCCTAGTAGCAGGCACAGTGCTGTGTTTTGGATTTAGGATGAGAAGAATGTTGATAACACGCTGATGTTTTTAGTTGTTGCTAGGTACTGCTTATGCTAGTCAAGGACTTTTCAGCTTCCCATGCTCTGCCAGGTGCACAACAAACTGGGAGGGGGCACAGCCAGAATAGTTGATCCAAACTGGCCAAAGGGCTATTCCATACCATATGACGTCATGCTCAGTACATAAACTGGGGGGGGTTGGCCGGGGAGCAGCGATCGCTGCTCGGGAACTGTCTGGGTATCGGTCGGTGAGTGGTGAGCAATTGCATTGTGCATCACTTGCTTTGTATATTATTATTATTATTATCATCATTATTATATTGTTATTATTATCATTACTATTTTACTTTATTTCAATTATTAAACTGTTCTTATCTCACCCCAGGAGTTTTTCTCACTCCTCCAATTCTCTCCCCCATCCCATCGGGGTAGGGGGAGTGAGTGAGCGGCTGTGTGGTGCTTAGTTGTTGGCTGGGGCTAAACCACGACAATACTGAACATTATTATGTTGAATGTGTTCAGTGCTTGAATTTTTGAATGAACTAGGATAAAACACATTTAACAAATTGGCTCAATTTCAGTCCTTGGCCAAATAAAGTCACAAGTTAATCATTCCATTACCATCAAAGAGTTAAGAGCCTAAAGTATGACTAACACCAGAGCTTTGTATTTTTACAAGAAGTGGATCTGCAGAACAAACATGTCACTTTAAGCAAGATTACAAGTCTGATCTATTTTGATAAAGCAGAATGTGTTGATAGAATCTAGTGGATTTCTGTAAACCAGTTGACTTGGGACTGTATGATGCTTTGATAAGTAAGCGTCCTTTGTTTGCTTAAAAGAGTGTATAATTGAGGGCTCACTGAAAGACCTTTAAATGCAACAAGTAGAGCTGTTGCTAGCAGGGTTTCCCAAGGATCAAGTTTTGTTTACTGTTGTTTTCAGTGAGCTGAATGAAGGTGCAAAGTACACCTTGGCTTTGGCCATTACTTTGTTGGTTAATTTTGCATTTTAGCACAGAAAACCTTTCTAAAAGGTGGGAAAACCTGTGCTTGAGCTGAAAACAAGGATAGATTCAGTTGTTAGCATAAAAATTGCAGTACCTGAAAGAGCTATAAAAAGGCAGATGTGATGTAAAATGGAGAAGTAGCTTTGTCTTTCTACTTTCATGCAAATTGATGCTACTGCTGCTAGAATATTTGATGAATTCATCTTAACTTCTCATGGAAATGTAGTTCTTCTGAAGTGTCGTTATTAATCTCTCAGACTGGAGTAAGCATCCTTCAGTGTTGTTTTATTCTGCTCCTCCTTTATTCTTGTGTTTGTTTAGCATTTCAATTTCCTTTTGATATTACACGATTTTGCCTTAGCACGTATCTGTGTGAATCAACTTGTAACAAACCGTTAATTTTTCTTGTCCCTTGCATTATGATCTTCGCATGTAGAAAGGAAAAATACAGAGGTATAGTTGTTTCCTGTGGTAGATTCCTTTCAGTCAGTCCTCTGTTGTATGCCCAAATGGGAATTGTGCTGCTGCTTGGATACTTAAATTTCCTCCTGGGCATGAACCTGTCAGGGTGAAAGGCGTATTGTTAGTTATCACCTTGTATACTCTTACTTACCACATCTGTTTCCTAGTTCTTAATTTCCTAGCCAATATGTTTTCATCTCAGCTGTAAGCTGGGCAAATACAGACGTTCTGTACAATGTGGCAAATGGCAGCTTTTTCTTGCCTGTTTCTCAGCGGCTCTGAATTAAGGTTGCTGGATCTTTTCATCTGGTTTTCAGATGGCATTGTCCAAGCAGCTGTTCGTCGGCAGTCTGAAAGCAGTGAGCCCCTAACTCCTGAACTTCATGATGTCCCTCCTCAGAGGAAACGCAAGAAGAAGAAAATACCTACCGGTATGTGAAATGTAGCTTGGAAAGAGCACTGAACAAAACACAGAAATATGATTGGCCAACTTGTATTTTGGCTTAAAACATTTCAAATCATGTGCTTTTGTACTTAAAACAGCTGAAAGTAATCTCTGAGTGAATGGTAGCTTAGAGTTTCAGTTTCTGGTTTCAGATTCCATAGAGTACAAACCCTCGTGCAAATAATGGCAATACAGTTTTGGAAGTGATAAAATAGATCCTTTATATCATTCAAAGCTCAGAAGAGCATCACTTTTTTGTCACTGTGTTTATATAATAACTATTCATATATTTAAGTGAATCATAGAATGCTTTGGGCTGGAAGGGACCTTGAGAGGTCATCTAGCCCAACCCCCCTGCAGTGAGCAGGGATTGAACCCGTGACCTGGGCATTATTAATACCACGCTCTAACCTACTGAGCTGAATGTATTTCCATTTTTATGAAAGCTGTGAAACTTTCATGTGGTTTATTTTAAATCTTCAGATTCTGAGACGTCTTTTACCCAGCAAAATGTTGCATCCTTATTTCAGAATGGAAGTGGCATGGATATCCCTGAAGCTGAAGAAACAGTGATCCGCAAACAGAGAAAAAGAACAAAGTGAGACAAAACTAGTATAGCTCATAATTTGGAATAACTCTGATAGTGAATGTGGCTGAGTAGCATTTTACATTGTCACATTAGAAGCATGTAAGATCTTGAAGCCCACGATACCATTCAGCCTGTGCAATAAATAGTATGTGTGCAGTTCTTTCCAGGGTTAAGATCTAGCTTTCTTCACTTGTTTGTTTTATGCATACCTGCATGCGTTACAGTTCTGAATACATTGACATGAGCTTAATATTTCAGTCACATGCATGAAAAAATTAGAATGTGTAACTGCTTTCTTTCATTCTTACTACCTTTTTTTTAATTTTATGAGAAACTTCACTGCTTTCTCATCCTTTTTATTTGCCTTTTCTTCAAGAACTATGCCTTTAAATCATTTTAGTCACCTTTCTACCAAAAGCATCCACTTTCTTGGCCTTGTATTTAGTTTCTATGTTTTTTTTCTAATTGTTAATCTCTTGATATGTATTTCTTCCCACCTTATTCTTTTGACACAAGAATATGACTTTAAATAGAATGACTTTAAATAGAAAGAGAAAACGCAAAATCAACATTAGCCTTATGGTTTTAGTTAACTAACTCCATTAGAACTTTAGTCCTTAAAATTATAAATGGAGGTAATATTATACAGGTCAGTAGCCTCATCGGTTCTTATCAGTCAAGTTAGACATGTTAAATGTTCATAGGAGCCTTCAGCTTTTACATTTTACTTCCTGTTCTTTGTCTGCCCCATTGTATGTTCTGTGCTTGTAGGAAACCTCGGCCAGCTGAAACACACTGTTCCAATGAGCTGGAAGTGGAGGAGGAAGACATCATTGAAGATGAGCACAGAAAGAGCCCAGATCAGCAGCCTGTGTTTGCTGCTCCCACTGGAATTAGCCAGCCTGTTAGCAAAGTGTTTGTTGAAAAAAATCGTAAGTACATCTAGTGATTTAAGTAATGGAAGGACAGTTTTGCAACTAAAGGAAGCATTATTGTATTGAAAATCCAAATACTGCACTATTGGGAAGAATTAAAGAAAAATAAGTTTTCCGGCACAAAAATTGTTTGGAAATGAATATATGTTACAATTTTCCAACCATGAATGTTAGTGTTGCTGTGCTGGCATGCTTGGTTGAATTTTTGAATTCCGTGGTGTGGATGAAAAAGGCTGTTTGGTAGTACCCAACTGAGCTTATTTGACCTAATACTGTCACAGTACCTTGAGAAGAAAGTATCATTTACTATATTGCAAAAAATCTTTCAAGTGAAGTTTTTTGTGAGTTGGTCTTTTGTTGGTGGTTTGTTTTTTGGTTGTTTTTTTTTTAACCAGGGGACACTGAGTAATTACCCCAAGTGCTTTGCACATTCTTAAATCCATAGCCTGACCCACCAGGGTGCATCACACTGACAGAGGCATCCTGATATGAATGCAGGCTGACAAAGGGCAGGAAGTGGGGAGAAAAAATTTTCTGATGGAACTTCTGACACTTACAGCTTTTTAACACTAATAAGTATTTATGTAGAAAAGATGATGGAAGGTAACAGTACTCTCTAAAACTAATTTCCTCATCCTTTCAGGGCGTTTTCAGGCAGCTGACCGTGCAGAATTGATTAAAACCACTGAAAATATCAATGTACTTATGGATGTGAAAGCTTCGTGGACTACCAGAGATGTCGCCCTCTCAGTCCACCGAAGTTTCAGGTGAAAGATAAACGTTTCAATAAGCAGAATTAATAAGCAGAAACGAATTAATAAGCAGAAACATTTAAATAAGCAGAAATCAGGGTTGGGTTTTTTTCTTCCTGAAAGTTAACACCTTTTCTCTATCATTGTGATGTATCTTTATTTCTTTTGGATATTCCTAATAAATAGTGGTTCGGGATGCAACAGGTATAAAGTTCCTCAGTCCTCTAGCTTTGGGTATTTGTTGTCAAGAATATCTATTTCTAGTCTAGACATCACGTCTGAAATGCAACTTAAAAAAAGAATAACTAAGGAAGTCATATTGCAAATATTCAGACAAAATCTGAATAGCAAGACATTGATCTGATAACAAAAATACTGAAGACCTACAGAAAAAATGTGTTACAAAATGAGATTCACCCATCAGCTATAATATGACCACAGTGAAAATACCTGAATTCAGATAATTCTCAAAGAAAAATCCTGGTTGGTGGAAAAAAAGGGAGGAGTGAAATTGGACTGGGGCATAAGCTTGCACACAATAGCAAAATATTTATTTATTTTTAATATGTGGCCACGTTGTGATACAGAATGGGGAGATGACAGACATTTTCTTCCCTGGTGTGTTGTATCTGGAAGCCTGTGCTTCCTTCTCAGCTTTTTCTTAGCAAGGAAGATAATGAAAAGACTGACTCAAGGACAAGCTTAAGAGCGTTGTGTAAGTGTAAGGGGTAGTGGTCTTGGGAAGCAACAGGCAAAATGGGAGAATGCACCAAGTGAAATTATTTGATTCTGGTAGCAGTAATAAAGTGAAGTAGCGATAGGATCAGGCAAAACATCTAATTTTTCTTTGGTGAGTGTTCAGGTACTGATGCAGTCCATCAAAGGAGGAAGCAGAAGTCCCATTGCTTAGAATTTTTAAAACTAGATCAGAAAAAGCATTCAGAAACAATCTGTGGAAGGCTGGGATCCTCTCATGGCAGCAGGGTTGAACAGATGGATTCATAGGCCTTTTCTGTCTGTAGTGCTTCACTAATTCAAGGTGTTAAACTTGTCCAATGTTCTTTTCTCCATTCAGGGTGATCGGACTGTTTACCCATGGCTTCCTTGCTGGGTATGCTGTATGGAACATCATTGTTATCTACATTTTGGCAGGAAATCAACTTTCCACGGTTTCTAACCTGCTCCAGCAGTATAAGACACTAGCATACCCAGCTCAAAGTTTGTTCTATTTGTTGCTGTCTATCAGTACGGTCTCAGCCTTTGACAGGTAAAATATGTATTTGAAAGGTGTACATAATTTGTGTGCAATAATTTGTGTCCTTTCTCCTTCTTCCAGCATGTTTTGATCTGCTGTTGATGATTTAATGTGATATACTTAAGAGAATGATTTTTACACATGGCTGGCTATACAGATCAAGGGTGTACTTGCGCATTCAGACCTTTGTTACTCATTTCTGTCCGTTGCCTGCAGCCTTGCTTCAATGTGCTGGTGCTGTTTGTGTGATCATGAGGTGAACCAGATAGGAGACCTGACCTGTTTTTTTGGGTGGAGAGGGGTGGTGGAGAGTAACCAGTGTTTCTATCAGGTTACGTTTCATGTGAATCCATTCCCCAGTCAGGTTTGCAACATGGCTGTGTAAGCAGTTTTCCCATCTTAGCTGGTGTTTCTGTATTACAGCTTAATAGAATCATAGAATCATAGAATCATTCAGGTTGGAAAA